TGACCGCCTTGTGGCTCAGGGGAGGCAGTTTATGGGAGGCCAGAGGGTAGGAGTGAAGGAGGAATAAATCCGAGGGCAGCAGCTTCTCACCACAGATGGGGCTGTCCATCAGTGACTTCAGCTGCAGGAAGGAAGGCAGGACTGAGTCTCCATGGGGATGCAAAGCTTCACACATTCATGTGAGGAGGAGCACAGTCCCAGCAAGAGATGTATTGTTCTTTCATCCCCACAGATATTCTTCCTGTAAAATGACCCTAACTGCAGACAACACTCCTCCTATTCCTGTTAATGATAAGTCTTAGAATTTGTCTTCAAAACATGACATCATCTCTGTAAGATTTTAATATGAGAATAACAGAGATAGATGAGAGTCTGATTAATCTCTGGCATGATATTGTGCAGGAATACCTTCAGGTATCTGTTCTGCATCGGAGTGATGGGGGCTGGTGGTGCAGAATTCTTTATGTGTTTTAATAAGAAAGGCACAGCAACAGATGCTGTAATAAAATAGCTGTTTTAATTAGGTAGAATAAAGAGAGGAAGCAAATCTTACATCCCTTCAGATGCAGGGAACCCTGCTTTTGTGCAGCACTGGACAGATCCTGGATGCATTTCCCACAGCACGCTGCAGAGATCCTGTCCATACAGAGATTCCTCTTCCCCCCATACAGTGCTACTTTTTTGTTTTGTTTTGTTTTGTTTTGTTTTGTTTTGTTTTGTTTTTCTGCTACAAACAAAGCCATATATCTTCTCCTGACAGGTAGGGATATTATCTCTTTCATAACATCTACCAGTGAGCAGCACGGGCCAGCACAGGGCATTCCATCAGTTGCCTTGCAGCGGCTGCTCCTGCTGACATGTGGGCTTCACAAGCCCTAAATAAAAGGCCCAGTAGAGCAGAGGTGGCTTGCCCAAGGTCACCAGCTCCTTGAAAGTGATGTCTTCCACAACGCTCATAATGCAGTATCACAGTGTCTACTCAAACAGTACTTAAATAGAAAGAGGGGGAAAATAGCTATCTTTTATTGTAATTAAGCATTATTTTGCTGTATTATATATGCCAGGAAAAAAAAAAGTCTTGTAAATCAGCAATTATGTCATGCAGGCACTTCAGAGAAGGAGTTGAGAAGCATCTTAGTGTCTCAGAGCTACAGTGTAGACTAGCCCTGCAACAAACCATCTGAGAGAGCTTTCTGTGTACAGAAAATATAGTGCTCGCCAAGCAGCACATCCACTTTAAACTGAAAGCAAAGAACAATGGGAGAAGAGCTCGTGTTTTTCCCCATGAAGATCCAAAGTTACTATCAGAGGATATTCTCACAAAGTAAAGAAGAGTTAGAGCATTAGGCAGGAAACAGGCAGTGTGCCTAGGCAGAGGTGGGTGAGGGTCCATGTCTGACATGCACAGTACAACCCGTGTAGTTGTATGGAACATACTTTCATCAGCTCTATTACAGCATCAATTATTTAACTTGCAGAAGCTGTTTTGCAAACAGGTCTTGGAGCATAAGCCTATTCCATTTTCAATACCACCAGGACAGTCCTCTGCAAAAGACGCCCCTGAGATATATGCATGCAGGTGGAAAGGGAGAAAGGGAAACAGGAGAGACCATTTGGATGCCTTTCAGTGTTTTAGTTCTTCTAAAAGACATTCCCAATTTTCCCATGCTTAATATTGTTCTAGGATACTTTGAAGAAGGGGTAGACTGTCCCATTAGACAGGAATTGATGAGGCTGAGGAAGCTTGCTTTCAAAACAGAATTAGAACAAAAAAACAAAAGATAGACACTCCACTTCTATTTTCCCCTCTGTTTCCCTGTTGTCAGCATATCAACTACAGCAATTTAGGCATAAAAAGTGTCTCCCTGGGCTATTTTACCTGTGTCAGCTCCTTTGTAATTGTTCCCTGAAGGTAGTCTTTAAGCAAAGTGTCAGTCTGGTGGGATGGGGCTTTCCACTGCCCAGTGAGGCTTTCCCAGAGAGAGACAGACAGAGAGGACTGTAAGAAGCAGCAGCCCTGTGAACACCAAGGTCAGAGAAGGAGAGGGAAGATGTTTTCCAGGTGCTGGAACAGATTCCCCTGCAGCCTGTGGAGGAGTCTGTGCTGGAGCAGGTTTATCCTGAAGGACTGTAGCCCATGGAGAAGACCCACACTGGAGCTGGGGAAAAGTGTGAGGAGGAGAAAGTGGCAGGGATGAACTGTTAAGGACTGACTGAAGCTGCCATTCCCTATCTCCCTGTGCTGCTCAAGGAGGGGTTAGGCAGAAGTGCTGGTAACAAAGGAATGAAGTCGAGCCTGTGAAAAAGGGCTTGTTTTTAAGGGCTTGTGTTCTAGATTTTGTCGTTTTTCTTTTCTCATAATTCTACTCTATTTTAGTTAAAAATAAATTAAATGTAAAACTCAAGCTGAATCTGTTTTGCCCATGATGGTAAATGGCAAGTGATCACTCTCTCTTTACCTCAACCTATGAGCTTTTTCATCCTATTTTCTTCCCATGTCCAGTTGAGGAGGAGGAGTAAAAGCATCTGGTAGGAGTCTGGCAGCTTGTCAAGGTCAGCCCATCATGGTCCTTTACCAGGACTATTTTTTTATAACATCCTTTATACTAGTATAGCATGTACTAAACTAGTATATACTAAATTCACAGTGTTGATATAGGGGAAAAAAATAGCAATGACATAAATTCGAGGCTTCTGATCTCCCCTATTGCCTCCATACAGACCCCACCAATTTGGATAAAACACATAGCTGAGGTACAGATTACCAAAGCAGGCAATTTCGGATTTGCAAGGGCCCCTAGCCCAGGAGAAAGTGCTTCATTCAGCTATAACTTTTTGAAGGTTGATGTATTCTTCACTGTTTGCTACTCCCTTCCCCTTGCTTCCTGCAGACAGCTCATTTTGATCGTTGCTAGAAGCTTTTTGTGGTGTCAGGTAATATCCCACCTGCCGGCCTCTGCTGTCAACCAATATTGTGCTCCAGGCTGGAGCACAGACTTCAGTTTGACTGAACTTGTTAAACATCTGCTGGGAGTCTTGAAAGCTTAAATGTTCTGTTTTCTGAGACCTGTAAATGGGAACAAAACCTGCAAGACAACTGTTCCCCTGTAGCATGAGGGAAAGAACAAAAGGGTGCTAAAAAGGGGGGGGCCTTGTTTTCTTCCTAGTAAATACTGCATGAGGTGATGTTTTGTTTAATGCAACCTTTAGTTCCTGTGTGCAAAGATGCTTTTACTCAGCTAGCAGCTTTTAAAGTTTTCGGTTATGCTTTGTAAGTGGCAGGGATGGTTTTGACGGGTGATGGGAGACTTTTGCATTAGGTTTGGTCTGGAGAAGAGAGATTGGCTTTCCTGGGAGAGATGCTCCAAGGTATAGTGTGCTACTACTTAGGCAAGGCGTCTGTCACATCGTTGTTTCGACAATCACAAGGGGGTACTAAAACACAAACAGAAAAGCGTGACTGTTGCTTTTTTGTGTGACACACCAACACCTATTTAAGGTTTCATGTGGGCATGTTACAGAGATGTTGGGGACAAAAGTATTTGCTGAATGCCAGTATCTTGACAAAACCATCAGGCTGAACAGACTCATACTAACAACTTTGTGTAGTCCCTCAGGTGTTTCACTGGGAATTGGGCTGTAGGGGCAGACTGGAGATAAATGGGGGACCATTCAAACGATCTTGCCACTGGGCGTGCCCCAGCTCACTTGTGATCTTGGTGCCTCTGATTTCATCAGGGTTTTCTTGATAGACATTCAACAATATCTGTATACTTTCTCAGAGGGGTTCCATTCATCTTGAGAAAATGTCTAACACCTTATTTCTTAATTAATTTCATCTAGTTTTCCAGAGAGCAATAATATATAACCCTAGGCTGAGAAAGAAAGCTATAATTAAATAATCTGCTGATGTCATAGGCTGTCATGAGTGGAAAGCTATGATTCAATTATAACCATTGGCTCTCAATGCAATCTGGAATTAATGGCTTTTCCATATGTAATTAAAATGTTTATTCTCATTTAGAAACCCTGGGCCAGGCCCTTGGTAGCTATAAATTGGTGTTTCCTTGCGGACTTCAAAGGATCACAGTAACTTAAATCAACTAAAGATCTGGCTGGTAAGACTTCAGAGATTTATTCTAGAAAGAGTGATGAAAATATTATCCTCACAAAATGGAGACCTAAGCACTATTGGGCACAACAAGGCAGGTGCACTTGCCAAATCACCTTAGTGCAGTTTGATATTGCACTCACTGTACCATGTACACATTTGTGTCTGCTTGTTGCTCTCATCCCATTCAACGGTGACATTGAGTCCATGTCTAAAGATTTCAGAAAAGAGGAACACAAATGGAGACTTGTCTCTTCCTGCCCAACCAAAGGTGCAATCCCTACACAACTTGATTTTTTTTCTGTAATTTCTCCTTTCTAAATTTAGTGTGTGATGCTTCTTCAAACAGCCATGCTGGGTAGATGTTCATTTCATTTCATATTCATCATCAATAAATGAGGAAAAACACTTTGCTTTTTAATCAAGATCTGAGGGGCAGCGAGCACTTACCACTCTTACCAGAGCTCAGTGGAGGCCACAAATACACAGGACCAATTCTGGAATCTTTTTCCCACCTATTCCTTCTGACTGGTCACAGGCTGTAATTTCTGTCTCTGGATTCCCCAGCAGACCTGAGCTCTTGGCCATACTCTGCCAGACTACCAGTGCTTTACACCTGATGGTTTCTTAAACAGGTGCAGAAGATATGGAGAAAAGAGGCTGCAGCCAAAGACAGTTACATGAGAGAAAAAGTTGAGAAGACTCCTGGCCTCTTTCATTCTCCTCCAGTACATTAACATTCCTCCAACAGACCATCCTATTGCACCATGTCATGGATAATTTTCCCTAGCGTCATATTTCCTCATTGTAAAAAATGCTATAATACTATTTAGTCAAAGATGAACATTCATGCAGAGAAGAATTTAATTTTATTAATGTGATGGTTTAAACTCTTTTTTTTTTTTTGAAATGACTGTCATTTCTCAATATGATGAATCTCACATGGGAGGGGGGAAGAGAAGAAAAATTGAACCATTTTATTTGAGCTGCCTTCCACCCAGCCTTTTCCTCAGTTATTTTTCATGGGAACTTTCCTGTGCCATTTTGCTCCACTTCAAAATGAAAATATTGAAACAGTGAAATTTCCTATAAAATGAAAATTCTAGTCACCACTTTGTGGTAATATTTATCTGTCTCAAAGAAATGCTAAATAAAGCCTTTGAAATTCCCAGGGCCGCAGAAGTGTGGAAGAGAGGTTGTGGTTAAAATGGGCTTCTGTCCTTTGTTAGTCCTTTCACGTAGTGAATCTGGTTTTTCTTCCAAAAAAGAGAGAAGTCAGCAATCAGCATCATGCAGCGTTATTGGCATTTAATTGATGAGATGAAGGAGTGGTGCATCTGTCTTCATGCGGATTTCTGAGTTTCTTGTAGGGCTGGCAGAGAAAAGGGACATTTATGAGCCAATGTGTGCTGGACACAACTGATGTTTCTATCATATGTCTTTTCCCCTGATGATATGAGGTATAAATGATCTGAAATGTCTCCCTAGGTAATTTTGGTGAAAGACGTTTGTTCATACAAGCAATACATATACCAAAAAAAGTAGCAAATGGAGGGTACAATGTCATCAAGCAGTTTGCATATTAGCATTATGGGGAATTTGTAACAGGATCTAAACAAGGCCATTAGTCACTGATGGAACCATTAGTAGAAATAATATCACAAAGTCCTTTTAGCATTTTTTACACAGCTAATAAGAGAATTCAAAATGAACTTTAAAAGTTCATTTCCAGTCAAATAATCTCTCCTAAAACTGGCTAATACTCTCAATAGCAGAATCTTTCAATTTCCAGACGTGGAATTGAAGCCAATACCTGCTGAATCAAAACTGAGCTCAGCAAAGGCAGGGAGCTGGTAGACACAGATATACTGCAGATGTACAAACGTCTCACTGTCTTGAAGTTTCACCAGCTTTCCTTTGGATTTACTTTGACTTATTAAAAGAACTTCAAATCACAGAATAAAATGACCTTCAACCATACATATCTTTATATTATGCTCAGATGTTTTTTAATTGATATATTTTAAGTTAAAGGCATGAGCTGGTTAAGAGAAGACTTTTTCTTCAGTCCTGAAGATCTTGGTTTACTTTATATCCTTTCACATTTTAAAATCACCTACAATTTGAAGTAGTGATTTTACTGGAGAAAAGTGTCTTTTTTTTTTATTTCTTTGTAACTCAGATCAAAGCTAAAATCTTCCATTGATTACCAAAGGATAAAACAAGCAGATAAAAGCAGCCAAGCAGCTGCTCATCAAATAGATTTATAGCTGTTTCTGCCAAGGGCTTATATGTCCTCCATGACTCAACAGGACTGGTTGAAAAAAGATAACATAACATTGGGCTGACTGCATGTTCTCTTACTGCTTGTTCTGTTTATTTTATGAGTCAAAGAGATAAGAAAAATAGCATAACTAATGGAGAACACAACGCTGTCAACGGACCGGGACCTTTTGAGTTGTACCGAAAGGGTTGTTAGACATTGGAACAGGCTGCCCAGGGAAGTGGTGGAGTCACCATTCCTGGAAGTCTTTAAAAGACGTTTAGATGTAGAGCTTAAGGATATGGTTTAGTGGGGACTGTTAGTGTTAGGTCAGAGGTTGGACTCGATGATCTTGAGGTCTCTTACAACATAGAAATTCTGTGATTCTGTGTGATAACCACAACTGCAACCAAAAGGGGGGCTCTCACCTTCTCTGACACCAAGGAGGAAACTTCTGTCTCAGGAGGCATCCCTCATGCCTGACAAAGGAATCAGAATATGGATTGGAAAAGGGGTAAAATGTACCAAAAGTTAGCTTTAGCAGACCCAGATGTTCTCTGCCATTTCCTACATGATATTGAAAGATAAAAAGAAGCCACAGTTTTTAAAATTAAGTCCTTCATCTCTCCCTTTTCTGAAATTTTGCAATGATTTTGCTATAGCTGTCTGCTCTCAGGAGTTTCTTGGTGCTTACTAGCCCTCACTTGGGGTTTGGGTCTCTGCCTGCTGCTGGTCTAGTCTGTGGCACATCACCCTCAGTGCAACCACCACCGTGCCCTTTGGAGGCCTCTTGGGTCAAAGCAGTGACCGTGACCGATGTGCCACACCACAGATAGTCTCTATAGCTTGAGCAGACATCACAACTTCTTATTCTGTTCTGACAGAAGATAATGTGCAGGGGTCTGATTTGCTTCAGTTGGGTTTTATGAGCTTTGCATAAGTCATGCTTCTTTTAGAGTGTGAAATGATTGTCTTCCACGCTCTTGCTCTAGCTCACATCTGCATTTAAATAACCTTAATGAAACTAATAATTGAGTTGCTGAAGACTGAATACGTCAGTAAATGAATATTTGAATGGAAGTTTCCACCAAGCTGATTGCAGAGGTCTGTCATTTGATTATCAGATCACACTGTTACCATCCAAAATGAAGGAGCATGAACTTGAAGCAGCAACAGACAGACAGATGGGGGGGGAAAAGATCATTAAGCAGCATCACAAATCAAAGTTTTGCACTAAGATAGCTATGGCTGTTCGTGCAATTCATGGACTTAAAGTGTCATTTGTTGCTGTATAGAGTCAGACTGGCCACAGTTTGCAACATGATGATTGTGTATATAATAGTTATAGGTCGTGTATTATATACACAAGTAAGAGTGATAGGTTTTAAACCAAGGACAGCTGGAGCCTGAATACTCATTTAACTCTTATTGTTGAGCAGGTCTGAGCTGTGTTCTGCTCTCAGAGCACTCACACTCTCACACTTTGCATGATTTCAGGCAGAGCATTGAGGTCCTCAGCTTTCCTATGGTGAGCATAAGGATGCAGCGAGCTTCCGGGGACCTTTGCCTGGGGGCTCCTCTTCAAGTGCTACCTCTGAAGTAAGGTGACACCTTGTTGCAGTGCCAACAGTTTTGATGACAAATAGACTTTCTTCCTTTTAATTTGTCTGTCAGGGTGACAAAACAGTGCTGAAAACTTAGTGAAGCTAAGATTATCACAGTTTACAGTGCAGGGTCAATAAAGATGACGTGACTGGGTTTGGTGAGGTGAGCACTCATTTTGCTGAAGCAAGCCTTCAGAACAGCATTAATGCTTTGCAGCGTAGGGCAGCTCATGCACATCTCTGGGTAGGCACCAGGATCAGTGCAGGAAGGCAGCAGCAGAAAAGGCAATCTGCTTTGGAGATCCCTCAAGAGTCTGGAGGTGGACCGAACCCTCAAGAAGTTCAGCAAAATCCTTCACCAAGGATGGAAAGGTCCCATCCAGCCGCAAAGGCTGAGGCTGGCTGGACAGCATGCAGAGAGGACATGGTGGCAAATACACTGCAAGTGCTCACTGTGGTCTCTTATTCAGCAATGAAAGCCAACCACACTGTGGGCCACCTTCTAAGGCAGCGTGTAGCCACCTGGTCCAGGGGAGTGATTCTTCCTCTTTCTTCCCCTGAGACCAAGTGTGTGGCACCGGGTCCAGTTTTGGGATCCCCAGTGTGAGACAGACATTGCCACAATGGAGAAAGTGCAGTGAAGGGCATCAGGACAGGTGTGGGCTGCAGCACACGAAGGGCAAGGAGAGGTGAGGAGGCCAGGTTTGGAAAGGGCTTGTTATGATGGGTCCTTACTGTTCTCTTCAGTTACAGAAGAGGGAGATATAGAAGAGGGAGCCAGACTCTTCCTGGAAGTGCACATGATCTTGAAGGTGTTTTCCTACCTAGATGAGTTTGTGATTCTCTGACACGATGAGAAGTGAGATACACAAGCTGTAACATCCAAAATTTGTGTTTCCCACACACTCCAGGCACCGCTGTTTTGCACTCCAAATAGAAATAGTAGCAAATGCCTCAGTAACCACAGGGCCTAAGCCAAGGTATAAAAAGGAAATGATGAATGAGCAGGTATTCTGTTTTGTTGTCCTACTTGGAAAACAAAACCAAGTGATGAGCAAATGGGATACAGTGCTTAGCTGTAGTATAAATATCAACTCCCTGGCTTTTCTTCCTCTCATGACAATGCACTGGAAGCCATGCCAAAGTATTAGCAATTAAAATAACATTAACATTGCAAAAACGAGGTTTGTTGAAAACCACTCACAGGCATCCCAGATGTACAGTACAAGCCAAATCTATAACTTGTTGGTAATGTAAAACATGCTGTGGGTAATGGGAAGTGACATGTCGAGCAAGACATGCTAGCTGTCTGTGGAAACCTGGATCTGCAGGTGGGTGTCTCTCCTTTACTCCCCCAGCAGCATGTAAGAGTGCAGGAGACACAGGGGTGAGAAGTGCAGGACTAGAAAGCTGTAGGAGGGCTGAGGAAAGCTATCAAACCCATCCAGACTGCAGAAAGCTACTTGGGAACTGGTGTTTAGGTAAAAACTGTGCTGCAGGCTACCCCTTCAGCCCAGTAAATCAGGACTGTGAGTTTACAAGTCCAATTCAGAGCGCATGTCTGTGATAGAGATGCTGATCTACAACAGTGCTGTGTCTGAGTTTGCACTCACCTTGAGGCCGTGGGCAGATGCACCCTCAGGAGACTTTTGGAAACAGAGAGATTTGATCTCTTTCCCTGAGTGCTGTGTAGGATGCAGCAGCATGGATCGCTTGACAGAAGCAGACTGGTTACCAACCCTGTACACAGCTTCTCTGACAACTTCTGCTGCACAAGTAGGAGAAAAATCATCTCCCCTCCACACAAACTCCTCTGTTTGGCAAGCCTGGTGGTTAGGAAAGGTACCAACAGCATTGGGTTTTGTTGTTGTTGTTGATTTTTTTTTCCTAGGCTTTCATGCTCAATTATTAAAATGGCTCAAGCTGCAATGAATAATTAACTCAGACTTTGTTTGTATTGGGAGGGAGGGCAGTTGTTGCCTTGGAGGCTGTGGATAACTTCCAAAGTGCAGGGTCTAAGCCCTGTAGACTGCACAGAGCAGCCAGAGGTGGCTGCGGTTTCTGCCCGTGTTCCTGTTCACATCCATTTACAGCAGGACTGACATGATGAAGAAAAAGGTTCTGGCAATGGCCAAATAATTCCTCCTGTCCGAACAAAAAGTAACCTCAGGTGACCCTTCACAGTCAGTAGACTCTGTTGCACAGCAGTTTTTTTCCCCTTTCTTAACTCTGCTCTCCCAGAGGCTCACCCAGCATCGCTCCCTGGCTCAGCTCTGGCCAGCAGCAGGTCCCTTTGGATCTGGCTGGAGCTGGCCCTGATCTGACATGGGGCAGCTGCTGGGCTCTGCTCACAGAGGCCCCCCCTGCAGCCCTCCTGCTACCAACACCTTGACACATAAACCCAAAAACAACCTCCTGCTACCAACACCTTGACACATAAACCAGTGACAGGACCCACGGGAACGGGGTTAAGCTGAGGCAGGGGAAATTTAGGCTTGACATCAGGAGGGGGTTCTTCACAGAGAGGGTGGTTGCACACTGGAACAGGCTCCCCAGGGAAGTGGTCACTGTACCGAGCCTGTCTGAATTTAAGAAGAGATTGGACTGTGCACTTAGTCACATGGTCTGAACTTTTGGGTAGACCTGTGCGGTGTCAAGAGTTGGACTTGATGATCCTTAAGGGTCCCTTCCAACTCAGGATATTCTATGATTCTATGATTCTATGAAAACACCTCCTCAGAAATAGGCCAACAGGGCTTGAAAAATTCCCTCAGCAAAGCATTGCCCTCTTCTGCCTCCCAGAGAACCTCCATCTTCTGCCTGCACTTCCCTGCCCTGTCCTCTTGTTGGTCTTCCAACATGCATTCACAGCGGCACAGCAGGTTCCAGCTGCTGATTCCTCACAGATGCGACGTTCACTTTGCTCTCCACCACCCTATCAAGGCAATCTTTGCAAAGAAGGCAAACTGCTTTTTTCCCCACAGGCATTGCATCTTTCTCTGTGGTGTGACCATGGCACCTCTGTTTGCCAGGAGGTATCTCTGAGGTGTCCTCCAGCTCTGCAGGGCAGGGTAACTGACCAAACACAAAGAGAAACATTAAATGTGATGTGACCCTGGGGTGCACGCAGTGAAGCTCAGGACCAGGCAATTTGAAGGCCAACACCAAAAACACTTGTGCAAGGTGGGAAGGTAATTGCTGAACAATAGCACTGCTGAAGAACACCTCAGAAAATCATAAATGGCCACCTGCTGCAAGAGCGGTGGACAAGTCACATACCCTGAGTGAGCATCATCATCATACATTGCAACGGGAGGGAGTTATTTCCTCCCATTGAGCGCTGATGAGATTGCACGTAATTGCCTTTTGGCTCAGGCCTTGAGCAGAGGGCTCAGGAACAGGATGCTCAGATGCTGAAAGGCTTGAGAAATCAATCATGTACGGATCTCTCCACTCAGCTTAGCATCTACAAGGCCAGATACTCATTCAGGCAACACTTTCATTGATTTAACAGAGGTGTATTGCTAGGAAAAGGTTCTTAGCATGCAGGACAGACAGCCTGCTGGAGCAAAGAGACACCCCAGCGCTTCATGAGGACTTGACAATGAAGAGAGAAAGAGCTCCTGGGACTATTTTTTTTTTCAGTCAGAAATGAGAAAATGATGATACCTTCTTCCATCAAGGAAAGTGTTTGTCAGCAACTGCTGGTCTGAAATCTGATTTCAGAGCTGAAGGCCTTGATAAAAGCCCTCTTTCCACCTGTCTGTCTGTGGTGCTATTAGTTTTGCAGCTGTAAGAGGCATCAGTCAAGATTAGTCAAGCTGTCAAGCAGAATGCAAGTTCTTCCCATTGGAGAAGCTTTTTTTAGCCCACATTGCCATTGGGAAACTCTCCAGATATGGGGTTTTATTTTTGGAAAGTGAGTTTCACTGAAAAGTTTGAAGTTGAGTCTCACTGGTGCTTAGAAGCTGGGTAAGTATTCCTTGTTCTTTGCAAAATGTCTCCTGCAGGATGCTGAAACCAATACTCAGAAGACTTCTCACTGAGAGCTAAATACTCTTCCAGCAGTGGGAAGTGACTGGAAATGATTTAAAGGAGGACAGGAGAGGACAGCACTGTCTTTCTGTCCGTGGTGTTGCTGCAGGTAGCAAATGCCTGACCTGGAGCTGATGTCCCCTGAGCATGGGTGTGCTAAAAGCTGTGAGCATCCACCAGCTGTGCTTTTCTGTGTTAGAAGGGGCTTACTGGGGTGAGGAGTCAGAATACAGCCTTTGAGCACAGGTTGAAGTTTTTCAGGCCTGGTGGTGAAGAAGAGTGGTGAGGCACTGGCACAGATTGCCCAGAGCTGTGGGTGCCCCATCCCTGGAAGTGTTCAAGGCTGGGCTGGATGGGGCCTTGGCCAACCTGATCCAGGGGTTGGCATCCCTGCCTATGGCAGCGGGTTGGATTAAGGTGGTCTTCAGTGTCCCTTCCAACCCAATCTGGTCTGTGATTCTATGAAAGGTTAAAGCCTTAACGTATCAAACAGTGCATGTTGACCAGGGTGATAGAATTTTTGCTTTTTAAACTATTTTCTGGAGTTAGTTGTGCTGATTTTTCCAACCCAACCACTACATTCTCTTCTGAGGCATTCTCTTGTAATGGCCGGTGAACCTCTCTGGACACTTGAGAAATGTTCACCCAAAGTCTTTTGTTTTCTCTCACATATAAGCATCAACACACACTGCTTGCAGTGGATAAAAAAGAAAATGTAAGATGTTAAAATACTTTTTTTTTTTTCATAATTTACAAATATTATGCAATGGTTATAACCAGATTCCTCAAATGTCCCCACAGCTAATCTGTGTTTAGTGTGGCAAAGGAGGTGGACACTGCTGAAATAGTCTGATCCCTGCAGTGCCACGCTTCAGCAAAAGGAAAGCTTCCTTGGGCTTAGAGATGAAGGTAAACTGTTCCCCTCTTCCATTTTTTTTTTATTATTATTATTATTTTGTTTGTTTGTTTGTTTGTTTTCTATGTCTCTGTGGATCAGAACAAGGGATGTCCTCTCAGCATTTTGAACTAGCCACAAAATATCACAGCAGCTCTGTACTTTGCACATGGTAATGGCGGAATAAAACTGGATTGCCACAAAAGGGAAATGGCAGGCTTGGTTTTACAGAGCAATTATTCTCAATTAGATAGAGCATTCTGCTTAAACATAGCGTGCAGATTCACAGAGGGGAAAAAGGTACAAGGGATCTTTCCTTTTCCACTTTAACACTAGTCAATCCTAATGGGGAATGAAATTCTGCAGAACCCTGTAATTTCCCTAAAAGCTCCCAGACTGAAAATGCATCTCATACTGATGTCTTGATGTTTTCTTTGTGTACTCGGCTCAGCAGGCAGACACAGAAATGACAGGGGAGATTTGTCCCTAACTCATTGCTTAATCATTTAAATAGATACGCCAGCCACCGTATTTTATTCAAAGCTTGAGGTCATTTGTACCACCGTGGGCACGACAACATAATATGTTGGAATCTGCTGCAGACACAAAACGCTCCATCAGGCCGAGGCTGTTGCTGCTGCAGAGGTAAGACTCTTTCGTAGTCAGAAACTATTTCCAGCTCTGCCACCAAGAACCTTTAGGCGGGGAAAGTCACAGGCCGATCTGGCTCACCCTTCTTTTCATCTGACTTTGTAAACAGTTTTTAATTATTATAATTAAGAGGCTGTCAAAAACGTGTTTCATAAAGACAACATTTGCAGTGTTTACACAGCCAGTGAAGGGTATTTGAAGTGAAAGGGAAACAATTACTCCCGCATTTTAATAACAGTAGCAGAAGTTCAGATCACTTCATCTGGAGAGTTGTCTCACAAAAATGCCATCAGAAGGACTTGATTTTAACCTATTTGAACCTTCCAAGCTTCTACTCCAGTGCTCTTCCTGAAGGTCCTGTTATTTGTGAGCAACGTTGTCTCTGCTGACTTCGGCAGCAAACACAGGCTTGTGCTCTCTTGCAAACGCCTGTGCAGCAGCTAACTCCCTGCAGGAAGAAGCCTTTTAAAAATGAATATTTTTAATATTGCAAAACACTTTTATGTTATAAAATAGTCCCCTTCCTCTTGCTATATGATTATAGTTAGCAATTTTATTATTAGCTGACGGCTCTCTGGAGGCTCTCGTGCTTTATTTTGCAGCATGTTGGCGATGGGGATAAAGCACTCCCTGAAGCTATCTGATAAAGGGGACTCTACAGCCATCAGATATGTCCTTAGGCCCCCCCCCAAATTGTTCTTGTTTGTACTCCTATTTTCTGCTTTTTTTTTTTTTTCCTTTTTTTCCTCTAGTTTCCTGAACCAAGCCAGAGCACACAAGGGTACAAGGTGTGAGACTCTGCGCTCCACTCCTTCTTGCACGAGAGCAGTGCTTCTCACACCCTGTCTTTTTGGTGCAAAAAATGCCATTTATTGCATGCTGCTCTGGGCAGTCCTGCTTCTCCTGCAGTCGTGCAGTGGGCACAGCACTGACAAGGAGAGAGATGTTGTGCCAGCTAATGGGTCTGCTGAGGATGTAGACGGAGAGGATTTCTCGCCATTCAGTGCTAACCATCCAGAGCTGGAATTTAATTTTGTGCAGTGGACATATGGGAGTCAGGACAGTGTTTGCCTTATTGCTGTTTGCTCTCTGGCAGCTAGATTGCTACAACCTTAATCCAGGAATAGCTGCAGCCAAACAATGAGGTACTTATTTTGCTTTTCAAGGTGGTCCCTGCAGCTTTCTAACTGGAATTTAGGGATTTACCAAAGTGTTTCTGATGCCTTTTAATGAGGGAGGCTCAGCAAGAAGGTACCCTCTTTTTCTGGGTACGTGTCTATTTAAAACCATGGAGCAAGAGGTGTTGTTTATAATGTA